CTCTTTATCTGCTGTGATTTTCCTATGGGCAACACACTTTCATGGGTACAGCCTCCTTTTTGGAAGATACCAGCAAACTTTGTAGGTGATGTGATTCATCATCTCTGTCATCAGGAATGGTACCATCGGCGTGGGTACCCCCTCACAGATAGTGGAAGAGACCACACAGTTGTGGCTTATGTGCCACCCCAGTTTAACTCTCCTGACACTCCCTTCCCTCCCACTGTAGTGGGCAAGAGAGCTGTAGTGGTGCTTGGATTGGGATAGCCCTCCAGCTGCCCTAATTCATGGAGGAAAAGTAAGTTTCTCAGAAACATCGATACATTAGCCATTATTAGTAACACGTTATTCATGACACCCCCATAACTGACTGGGGCACCTGGTGTAGGCGATGCTATAGGAGAAGACTGAGGTGCACCACCAGCCCCTGCACAGCTTGTGCATGGGGCCAAGTGGACTTTGGGGGCCAGAAGGATCATCTGTAACCCAGTCTTCATCTCTCGCTTCCTGCTGCTCTCCATCCCCCCACTACCCCCCCCCCCGAAGAGTGAAGAGGCTTTTCAGGAGCTGTCGGAGATGCTGAGGTCATCCTTCTAGGCAAGATGGTTGGTCCCCCCTGTATGGACAAAGCCACTGCCTTGCCACAGTCTAAAGAGTAAACCTACCCCATGGAATTGGCCAGGCGTCTGTGACAAGGAGAGTGACAGCCTGGGCTCCCTGGTCCCCAAGCTCCCTCTTGAGGTTCCTTCCCAGGTCCCCAAGGAGGTGTTTGGGCTTGAGGCAGCAGCAGGACCCCAAGTAGAAGCCCCTAAGGTGAAGAGAATCCCCAAGAGATCCCAAGACTCAACTGTTTTTTTAAAATTCATTCATTCATTTATTTTGTATGAAGCACTGAGATGAGGTAGAGGAATAAGACAGTCCATACTCTCGAGCACACGGTCTAGTACGTATATTGCCAGAAGGGAGAGGGAGTGGCTTAGAGAAACAAAGGACGATTGTAGTATAATGTCATAAGTGCTAACAGGGACGGTCCTTCTGTGGGAGCCTAGAAGCTGGAGTCACTTCTGCCTTATAGACTCAGGAGTGGTTTTATAGAGGTGGGGACATTTGATCTCAGTGCCGAGAGATGGGTAGGAGCTCACATGATAGGAAAGAGAAGAAAGAGCATTCCAAGGAGGTTGTGTGCAAGGGAATGGAATGTTCAGGAAATGTGTAAAGTTTAATATGACCCACAAAAACAGTTCTCAGAGAGGGAAAGGAAAGAGTTAGAAAAAGATGAGGGACACGAGGCTGAGGAGGTGAAGCAGAACCCAGCTTGGAAGGGCGGGTGGGTTCTCCTAAGGGATCGGGGAAGGGCTCGCTGCCTGGTTTAAGGAGGTGCCATTACCAGCAATAATCAGTCCCGGTCCCGAGTCCTGTTCTCTGCAACCCTGTAGCTTAAACAGTGCAGTGGAAGGGCCAGAGTGAAAGAGCAAAGAGGACTGGCAAAGCCGACCGGCACCGACCAGGTCTGAAGCAGACAGGCCCTCGGGACCCCCATCACTGCGTCCAGCCGTGTGTGTCTGGTGAGACCTCTCCAGGAGACAGGCCTGGGGGCGCTGAGGAGACTGACCTGCCCCTGCAGCCTTGCATGTGAGAAAGCAGAGGTGGGGGATATGAAGAAGGAGGAAAACCAGACACTGGTTAGGATTTGGGGGTTCCTGCTCCCTCTGCTTTTACATCCAGTTCCTTTCATGTGTTTTTGTCCCCCCTCCCCAGTTTTAGAGTGAGAGTTAAGGACACAGCCCTGTGCTCAGGGAGGGCCTCAGCCTAGAGGCTGGCCGGCCCAGTGCGGAGGGGGCAATGTTGACCCCAGGCCCCGTGGCTCCGGCAGCTGTCTCCCACCCCAACAAGAGCGAGCCAGAATGTCCCAGCTTAACAGGAGGTGCAGGAGGGCAGCCTGGAGCTGTTTTCCGTGGGTTTTCATCACTGTTTATTCTTGTTGCCTCGCAAATAAAAGTGAAGCGTCTGCCATCTTGTGGCAGAGGCCAGGTACTGCCGGGGCTCCCACAGTCACCTTCCCCCGAAAGGGTGCTGGTCTGCTGGGGTGGGAGCCGGTGTGGAGAGGAGGAGGGAGCCTGGGCAGTAGTGCTCATGGCACTGGCCTCTCTGCCTCAGTGAAGAAGCTTCTAGAGTCAGTGGCTGTGAACCCCGGGGTCTCGGGAAGGCCATCCTTGAGCATACAAGGAGGATGGCCATTTGTGAAAGAGAAATAGGGTGAGTCGTGTGTGAGGAGGTCACGACCCTCAGAGAGGACAGAGCCTGGATGGGGATGAGGCAAGTGCTTGGAGACCCTGGCAGACCCGGGAGCCGGGTCCCGGCTCTGAGGGTGAGGGACAAAGAAAGGCGCAGAGGATCTCGACAGCGGGCAAACTCCTGTGCGGTGTGGCCATGGCCAGGAGGCTTTTGAGGTCCAGTATGAGGCCCCATCAGAATATGGAAGACTCACGTCAGCCTGCGTGCAGTATCTCGGGTAAGAACCGGAGGGGAGTGTCTCTCCGTACACGGTGTCTGCAGCAGTGTGACTGGATGAGCTCTCTGAGGGCAATCCCATGTGCACATGGTTTCTGGGCTCCTGACCAGTGAGGGTGTCAACTCCACTGGTAAAGCTGGGCCCCTTTTATTTGGTATTTGAATGCAGCTATAAGAAACAGATTATTTTAAATCAGTCCTAGAAGTTCTCTGCCTCTCTCAACTCGGGCCAGGAAAGTCAAGTCGTGACCTTATATCCTGTTCTTTCTACGAGCTCTCGAGGGCGGCCTGAAGCAGCCAGCACACCACACAGACCTCGTGCTTTATCGTCTTCACCAGAATGGTCCACTGTCACAGCCACCTAGGGTCCCAAGGCCTTCCTACAGCGGATGTTTCTTCACAGGCAAACACTAGCCGTAATTTAAGTAGATGCCGGCTACACCCTGTGGGCACTGACCCGCTCCTCACTCACAGTGAGGCCATCTCTAACTCCAAATCTGGCCGGGACAGTTAACCCTTCCAGATTCTCATCCTCACTGAGGTTTTGGTCCCTGAAAACAGTTCTGGAACCCACTGCTGTGTTAGCTGGAGATCAGTCACGGAAACAGAGCGTTCAAGGTATTTCAAGCAGGAGGGTGGATTTTACAAAGGCAATTGATGCTTCCAGAGTCATTAGAAAGGCTGTCTGAGGGAAGGTCGGGGAACAGCACCACTGCATTTCGGGATCCCAAGAAGGTACAGAAATTGCTAGAAGTCATTGCTGGTGACTTTGCCTGAGGCCCGCCCGTCCACGATTGTCAGGGTGAGCTGGCAGAGTCCCCGTCTGTTCTTTGGAGAGACCTGTGCCCATCTTCATGGCTGCACCTTGCAAATAATGGCCTCTCTTCTGCCCAATTTCATGTGTGCTTCTCTTATTGGTGAAATCTCAACTGGACTGCCCCTGGCAATAGAGTCTGGGAAATGTAGTTTTCCAGGCTTCCAGCTTCTGCAGTATCAGGGCGAGCTGAGAATGTCAGGGATCAAGACACAATCTCTGACGTGCGCTTTTAAATACGGATGATAATAATAGTCCTTCCTTCATATGGCTGTTGGGAGGCTAAAATTAACACTGTGAAGTCTTTGCACAGAGTGTGGCATATGGTAAGCCCTCGATAATTGCTCGTTTACAAAAAATTGTCAAAACTGAAGTCAGAATGGCTCCTCGTTCTCATTTCTAACCCCTGTAAGGAAACTGGCTGCTTCCGAGCTTTGGGGTCCAACCGCCCACCTTGGCACGGATCCTGTCCCTTACCATCCTGGGCCTACTTGGCGTCAGATCCTCAGTCTGCCTCATTCTGGCTCAGAGGGCTGGGTGGAGACTCAGGAAGAAGGGGAAAGTTCTCGGGGAGAAAACGGCAGCAGTGAATCATGCCGAATGTTAATACCGGAGTCCCCTTGCTCTACAGAGGGGAAGACTCCATCTCAAATGGACCAACAGTCAAAGACTGGCCAGATCCCTCATGCGAGCACAAGTCCGGGCTCTGCCTGGCACTTCAGGACCAAATGGAATCCGCAAACCCGGGGTCGAGTCTCCGTAGCCTTGTTGTGCCCAAATGCCCCGAGCAGCGTGCAACAAGGAAGAATTAGGGCACAGCTGAAATCCAAAAGGGAAAGGAAACGGGCTAAGATCCATGGGGAACAATGTCTATTTCTTAATCTGTCTCCTGCCCCAAATAGCTCCGCTCTCCTCCCCCACTTGTGTTTACGTGTCTGTTTCTTTCCCTGGCAGCAGATGCCACCGGGCCTTAAAGTAGGTCACAGAGGGCGGTGATGAGCCCACAAAGGCCCTCAGGCCACGTCCTTCCCTGACCTCAGTCCCCAGGCTCCTGGGGCTGGAGTGGCAGAGCACAGACCCAGATGACGCCCTGCTGTCCAAGGCCCCCAGGCAGGGCCCGAGCTCCCTAGAACCCCAGCGCGTGGGGGTTCCTCGGTCCAGCCTGTGAGTGGGCAGGGGGCCTGTTCTGAGCTGGCAGCAGAGGGGACAGCACTGGGCTGGGGCCGCAGCCCTGCCAGTCCCATCCTGCCCCTCCATCCCCTCCTCCCGCAGCCCTGCCCCAGTGCCCTCAGGGAGGCCCATTCTTCCCAGGACAGCCAGGCAGCCACATGGCCCTGCTGTTTCCCCCGGGAAGCCCTGGGGCCCCTTCCACACAGACCCACAGGGCCCAAAGCAGGGCTCCCAGCCCGCTCCGGGGGCAGCGCTGGTGTAGTGAGTGGAATGCAAATTACAGAGTCAGAAAACTGGATTTCAGGCCCCAGTCACCTGAGGCACGGGGCGCTAGGAGCTGGCCCAGAATAACCCAGCTGGGAAGCGGCAGAGCTCGGGCCCACAAGGACCCACTGCACACCCCAAGCCACCCGCGTCTGCCTCCCTCACGGCCGGACCCCCAGCCTGGATCCTTCAGACCCTCCCTGCCCAGCCTCCGGTCCTCACGGCGCCTTTCTCTCCCCAGGTTCTTTCGGAGCACGGCTATGGCCTGATCACAACCGACATCCGGGAGGGCCAAACCTTCTACTACGCGGAGGAGCACCACCAACAGTACCTGAGCAAGAACCGCGACGGGTACTGCGGCCTCGGGGGCACCGGCGTGTCCTGTCCGATGGGTGTTAAAAAGTAATTTCTCCCCATGTGGTCAGCCCTTGAAGTCACAGCCAAAATGCTTTCAACAAATTGGGCAATGCTTTTGTGGCTCAGGTCAGTGGCTTTTTGAAGTGCACAAAGCGCGAAGGCAGTCAGGAAAACCTGGTTTAATGAGGTCTGATTACATGAAATGCAATGGCAAGTTGATAACATGCAGTTTATCTTCTACTAAGTTACGGTGGGAGTTGAACTGTGACATTGCTTGAACTGTTTGGATTGCTTGGGGTCTGAATGAGGATCATGAAATACGCTGTGCTCCGTCTTCTTGGGCCTGGGTGCCTGCCGCGGAAGCTGGGGAAGGAAGCTGGGAGATTGTCAGACAAGATTAGGCATTTGGACATGGGAACTGTACCCTGTCCCACCTCGCATGCCCTCCAGTGCCTTAAAATCTGCAAACATTTATAGCCTCAATGAATCATTCACTGCAATATTTTGCTCGACTGAGCCTAGATGCACAGGGGGCTTTCTCTCCTTTTCGGCCCTCCTGGGGCAGGGAAAAGATGCAAGTTAGCTCGATGAATTCTAATGCTTTGCTTACAGCTATGAGAAATGCTTGTTCTAATAAAAATCTACAGTCTAATACAAACTGTCTCATGTCTCATCTGTCTTTTAGTTTTTAGGCAGGATGTTTCTAAGTATTGTAAGATAAAAACTCTGCAACGACTTTCCCCCAAATGGAAAATTTGATTGAAATTTTTGGAAAACAGGTACACACCTCTGGCTCCTGGTACCTTTGGTGATGATAGCGCTTTGCCACATGCCTGTTACAGCTGCCACATCATGTGCTCTTCTAATTAGAACAGACGTGCAATCCCTGCCCTTAAGAGCCTTTATATTCAAGACAAGGGGTGAGAACATAAGCAATCAACACGCAATCACATGAACAAATAAGATCATCACAGGTCCTGACAGGTGATGTGAAGATGATGGATAGGATAGGGTAAGTTGTATCTAAGGGCTGGGGAATTACCTACAGAGAGGTTTGGTCTGCACTGGTCTCTACACAAGGCCTCTGGGGGTGGAGAAGGAAGTTAACTGATTGATGCAAAGGAGAAATACAAACATAAGGGAGGAGAGCAGAGCTTTGGGGGCAGGAGGCGATTATGAAATACATTGTTCCCCATGGATTTAACATGTTTCTTTTCCTTTTTGGATTTCCTCTGTGCCCTGAGGCACTGTGGAAAAATTAAAAATAGAAATACCATATGATCCAGTAATTCCACTATGGGGTATTTACCCAAAGAAAATGAAAACGCTAATTCAAAAAGATATACATAGGGGCGCCTGGGTGGCTCAGTTGGTTAAGCGTCTGCCCTCGACTCAGGTCATGATCTCGGGGTCCTGGGATCGAGCCCTACCCTGGGCTCTGTGCTCAGCAGGGAGTCTTCTTCTCCATCTGCCTCTCCCCCTGCTCGTGCTCACTCTCTCAAATAAATTTTTAAAAAGATATATATATATATTAAATATATATATTCCCTTTGCTTATCACAGCATTATTTGTAATGGCCAAAATACAGAAGCAACCTAAGTGTACATGGATAGATGAATGGTAGGGAGGATGTGATTGATGTGTACACACACACACCTACATACACAACAGAAAGTTATGCAGCCATAAAAAACGATGAGATCTTGTCATTTGCAACAACATGGACAGACCTAGAGGGTATTATGCTGAATGAAATAAGTCAGAGTGATTTTCCTCATATGTGGAATCTAAAAAACAAAACAAATGAATAAAGAAACAAAAAGCAGAAACAGGCCCATAAATACAGAGAACAAACTAGTGGTTGCCTGAGGGTACAGGAATGATCAAAATGGGTGAAGGGGAGTGAGAGGTAGGGACAGACTTCCAATTATGGAAAGAATAAGTATGGGGATGGAAGTACAGCATAGGGAATATAGTCAATGGTGTTGTAATCCTGTTGTATGATGACAGGAGCTACACTTGTGGTGAGCACAACAGAATGTAGAGTTGTCGAATCCCTGTGTTGTACACCTGAAACTAATGTGATATTGTGTGTCAGCTATACTTCTATTAAAAAATTATTATTAAAAGGAAGAATACATACATGGAGTGGATATGCCTAATCAGTCTCAGCATCCCCATTTTGGTTGCCTGCAGGAAAACCTTTCCACATCGAAGAGCCAGGAAGTATAAATGGCCCATGACAGGGAGAAGTTTGTAGTGTTTGAGAAATGGAGAAGCCAGTAGGGCTGGAATACTGTGATTGAGGAAGAGTATTGGAGAGAGGTATCTGAGAGGTAGGAAGAGCCACATCATGCAGAACCTTCGAAGAACATGTTAATGGAACTTGTTTGTTTGTTTGTTCTATTTGATCATTGACAGCCATTGGAGGATTTTTAAATTCCTCTTTTTTTTGTACAGGCTGAGCAACTAGAGGGAAGGTGGAGTTATTTATTTGTGAGGGAGTAGACAGAAGAGAGATCAGTGAATGAATCCATTTTGGCCACACAAAATTTGAAGTGCTTCTCAGGCATCCTCATGGAAATGTGAGGGAGGGCAGTTTGCTGTGAGGTTCTGGAGCCTGGGAGGGATCTGGGAAAGATAAATTTAAGAACCACCAGTATATAGATGACATTTGAGGTGTGAAACTAGATCATCTAGGAAGGAATGTAGAGGGGGAGAGGGGCTCCGAGGATTAAATGCTGGGGTGTTCTGACATACGGAGATCTGGTAAAGGAAGAGGAAAGGAGTTTCCGAAGTGACATTTGAAGGAGGCACATAAGGATTTGTGTCCTTGCAGTGAAAACTAAGCACAGATGTATCCCCCAAAAACTGAATAATGATCTGAATGATGCAAAAGAGAAATGCGGATGATGCATCATGAGTCTGGGTTAAACTCAGACCAACTTTCTTCTATAGTCATACCAGAACATAATAAAAAATGACAAGGAAGCCAGGTCCTTTTGAGGAAGGACCTTGCAGCATTTCAAGAGCTATATACTTTGAATCTTGCCCTAAGCCTTCCCCAGAGGAAACTGAGGGCCTTTTACCCAAGTGACTCTTTACTCAAGAAGGGGAAATAACCCAGGTCTCCTTGGAGTTATTATTTACTGGCTATAAACTGATGTGTTGGGACACCTGCCACCATGGTCTCCTGGGCAGGGTGGGGGTTTATAAAGACCAACTGATCTAATGGGTGTTGTTCCAAGTCTATCTCACAGTGGGTCTAGCGGGTCTGAATAACACACTTGAAGTTCTTTCTTCACTCCCAGTATGCCTAATGTGTATTAACTATGTTTCTAGCTTCTGTAAACTTGATGCTTTAAACATCTCCCTGCATGCATATGTTAGACATACGTTGTCTGGACAACCCTGTAATATTCCTGCGCCACCTTGCCTTGGCTTCCTGCCTCCTTTGTGACTCTGCCTCTCCTTGGGAGGAGTCTTCCTCCCAGAGGCACTTTTCCAAATATAAACCAATCCAGACTTCATATCCCCATTCACCTCCTTTATCAGGCTCTTACACTCCAGACCACTATCTACCTGCCCTAAACACCCCAAGGTCACCAGGAGCCAGACAGCTAGGGATAGCTCTTGTGCCCCAGAGCCTGCTAAGATTATTAAAATGAGCTAATCCTAAATCTGCTTACCCTGCTTCACCCCTTCCTTCCCTTGGGAACCACATAAAGACTCTTGCCCACAGTTCCCCCCCCCCCGCCTCCTAACAGACCCTGGTAGCCTCCCCATGGCATGGCATGCCTCTTCCTCACGGGCTCTGTGAATAACAAACTCTCTTTATAATGGCAGTCATCTCATGTTCTGTTGGCCCTACCACACCTAAATTATAAAACCTATTAAAACATAAGGAGGATAGATATACCTAATAAGTGACAAAACCCCATTTCAGTTCCCTGATTCATGGAATAAAGATCCCCAGGCTTCCTCACTCCCAGTTGAGTAAAGAAAAAATAATATCTCTGAGGGAATTTAAAATATGAAATTAAATGATTCAGAGGTTGAGATGGGCACACATCCCTGTTTTGTTCCCATTTGGCAGATGCTAAGGCTGGATAGGTCTTGGGCAATGAATGTAAATTATTACACACTTAATAATATGCCAATTATGTGAAGGGCTCCAGATATACTTACTGGAACAATTAATATAGCCGTTGGCACCTCATATGTAGCTATTTGCCCAGCAAATATTTTCTTCTCTATCCCTATGAGTAAAGACCATAAGACCATCAGAAGCAGTTTGCCTTCACATAGTAGGGTCGTCACTGTATCTTTGCTGTCCTGTCTCAAGGCTGTGCCAATTCTACTTTACATCATACAAAGAAACCTTGATCATTCTGGCATCTCACAGAACATCAACTGATTCATTGCATTGATGACATTAGATGAATTGGATTTGGCAAGCAGGAAGGAACAAGCAGCCTAGTCAGTGGGAGATTTTACCCCCAAAAGTTCAGGGACTGCCACATTGGTTAAGTTTCTAAGTGTCTGGTGATCTGGAGCATGAGAGACAAGTTACTGCATCTTGGACTACCCATCATGATAAAAGAGACACAGTATTTAGTGGACCTCTTTAGGTTTGGGAAGCAACAGATAACCACCTTTGGGTGGGCTGATTTGAACTATGGGTAACCCTGGATAACCCACCAGATTTGAGATGGACCCAGAGCAAGAAAAGACTCCCCAGCAGATCTAAGCTGACATACAAGCCACCTTGCCAATAGCAGTCCCTAATGTATTGAATATATGTGTGGCAAACAGAGATGTTGGATAGAAATTCTGGCAAACCTTAGTAGGAGACTCACAGTGTAGACCCTAGGGCTCGAGGAATAAAGCTATGCCCTCTTCCCTTCTCCATGCAAAAGTAACCCCTGACTTGCTACCAGGCCCAGGTAGAGAAGTAGGCAACTCATACTATCCATCATAACCTAGGTACCGTCTGGCTATCTGAACCGCAAAATTGAATGTGCACAGCAGTAATTTATTTTTAAGCGGAAATTGTGCACTTGAGACTGGGCTCAGAAGCAGTTTTAGAAAGCGTGAATAAACTGCAAGTCAGGTGACTCAGACTCACATGATACTTACTTCAACTTTTTCATTACCTTTCCTTTAATCCACACCTCTGACCTCATAGGGAGCTTCTTATGACTAACTAGGAAGGAGAAAACTGTGGGTCTGGTTTATAGATAGCTCTTACTGTAGGCTGGCTGTAGCCAGAAGCAGATAGTTGCCACATTGCAGCATCACTTGGTTTGCCCTGGACAACAGTGGTGAGAAAATTCTCCCAGGGGGTGAAATTTGAGCAGTGCATTTGGTTATCTACTTCATATAGAAGGAGAGATAGCGGGGCACCTGGGTGGCTCAGTCATTGGGCGTCTGCCTTCGGGTCCTGGGATTGAGCCCTGTAACGGGCTTCCTGCTCAGCGGGAAGCCTGCTTCTCCCTCTCCCGCTCCCCCTGCTTGTGTTCCCTCTCTCGCTGTGGATCTCTCTGTCAAATAGATAAATAAAATCTTTAAAAAAAAAAAAAAAGGAGGGATAGCCAGAATATGTATCTATATTGATTCATGAGCAGTGGCTAATGGTCAGGGAATAGGAAAGAAGA